TAAACGTATATTAAAGGCAGTAGTCTTGGACGGATACAAATTTTCGCTCCAGCAAACACGAGTAGAAAACCAACTTTACAAAACTGTTTCGGCGAATATAGAATACTATTTGAATGGTGGGAAATATTAACTTTAGTCTTAATTCAACGATTTGCTCTGTCTGAATAAGTTTCAAGAATATTTTGATGACAAGCGGATTATGGGAATAGTTTGAACAATAGTTTTTTTATAAAATAATCTAATTTATTTAATGCTTACTGACAGATTGGTTAACAGTTATATTTAAACACATTCATATGTTTTTCAGAGACCGTAAATATTTTAACTAAAACAACATTTTAATTAAAAACATTTTAACAAACAAGTTCAAACCGCCGCTATTACTGACTACAACAGTTTGACAAATTTATTTCGTATTAAATTCACTAATCACAAGTTTACTTACTGAAATTCTGCAAAATAATTGTTACTTTTTTACTTTACTTTATTTAAAGCAGGTGTTGCGTGATAATTTCGCTCGTGATATTTATGCAATTTTATTTTATAAATTTTGCGAGTACTTCCGCAGTCCACATCAAACTGCACAATTTCATTCAATTATGTAAAGGAAATGGCGTGTCGACTTTACATGCGGTGTAAGTGTTTTACATGCTTCAACTTGTTAAAACGAATTATTATGTTGTTATTTCAATTGTGTGCAACTTATACACGTCTATGATAATATGCATAGAAGGTAAAAACTTTTAAGGTAAATAAAAGAAGTAGTTCCACAACCGGACATAGGCTTTCCCTCAATTCTCAAAGGCTTCAGGCACAAAAGAAATTATTATAGTTAAAATCTATGAACTAACCACGGATAAAATCCTTATATAAGTTAGTTTTCCAGAAACCTTCGAGCCTTAGAGTAATACTCTCGTTCGGAATTGTCTAATACTTCTGTTGATCGTTTCAGTCTCAGTGTCAGCAATAAGATGAAACTTGTTCTATTTAATGATATATTAACAAATCCGAACTGCAATATGACGAAATGTTTTGAATTTGAATGTAACTTTAAACAGTCAAAGTAAATATTAAATGAAAGCAATCATAATTATTAAGCTAATCTATTCAGATTTCGTAGTCGAGTACCTAATAACGCCTCGGTAGTGGTTTTTTTTTTTTTGAAGATCTTTCTAAAGTTTTAATATATGCCGTTTAATAAATTTATGGCGTGATCGTCTTAGTTAATCTATGGGGCTTCCCCCATAGATAGAGACATAGGGCGATTTTGCCATAGTTGCCATGCTTGGCAAGCGGGTTGGTAACCATAGTTTTTTTTTGTTTTTTTGAGTTTTTATCAGGATGTTTCTGTTGTCCATCACCAGTTTCACTTTCCCTCTGTCGCTTCTCACGACGATAAGGTGTAGTAGATATTCTTACAGAGCGGTGAAACGTACGGTACGGCGTAAGTATTAAATTTTTGTTATCATCTTTCTGTAAACGTAAATAAAATTGGCATTAAATAATACTTCATACATTGTAATCATAACAGCCAACAAGAAAGAGTTGTTATTTTCCTGTATGTGCACGAAATAAGAAACGCGACGACTGTAATTCGTTTCTCATAAGCCTTACTTAATTATTGACTTACTCACTTAAATATACTAAATATTGTTTTTAAATAAACAGTCCTCGACACTACAGATAATTTCTTCGTACGGTAATTTTTTAGGTGTTAAAGCAAAATTAAGTCCTTTCGATAATACTCGAATTGTTGCATCATCCAGAGTTTGTTTTGACAGATTATGGACCGCGCTTAATCTATGATCCGCATTCGTAGTCAATGGTTGCGTTTCGTTCTCACGTTGACTCAGATGTTTGACATTTAATTTGGTCGTTAATTTTTGATATTTTACTATATGTTTGTTTTTGCATTCGTTATATTTATTAATTTCTCGTTTATTTAACGTTTCAATGCAAACATTATTATCAAATGTCGTTAAAACTGCCTTTAACTCACTGAATGATGTGTCCATGGATTTGTTTATGGTATGTAGATCGGAGCGTTTTTGTTGGATTACCGTTCGTAACAACTTTTTACTTGCCTGATTTAAGATCTTAGCGCTTCCTCGAATGTCCTTTTTAGTGGATATTTTGACACACGTAGGAATGAGATTATTATCGCGACATCTCTTCAAGAAGTTTAATGCTGTTAGATATCTTGCGCGCTTAGTCATGAGATCTTCTAATCGGCGAATTTTATTTGCAATTACCAGTCCGTACTGGTTCAAGTAATGATTTTTTATATTTACGCGAACACTATACATTTAAATAAAACTAATTTTACGGATTTCATCTCGTATATTAACTTATTTTTCATTCCCGACGTTTCAAGCACTTTACAGCACCCATGTTCACGGGGGGGACTGAGGTGTGTGACTGTGTCATCTGCAAATAATACTAAGAAATAATCTGTAGTGTTGAGGACTGTTCATTTAAAAACAATATGCGAAAGGATGATTTGGAAGCGGTACGTCAAGACATTTCGTCTATGTTACGTCGAAGTTCAGCGCCAAAACCGAATCTACCTAAAGACGAATTTAAAGCGTTGAATAACCTACGCAATAAACGAGAACTTACGATTCCCTGCGCAGATAAGGGAAATACAACGGTAGTCATGGATACGTCGGATTATATTTCTAAAATACAAGAACTTTTGTCGGATGAAAGTACTTATAAAAAGGTTAAAAATGACCCAACAAATAACACATTCAAAACAACTCGTGATCTCATAAAGAAACATTTCGAAAAATTAAATCTAGACGTAAAATCGATAATACCTACGTGTGCAAAACCACCGAAGTTGTATGGGTTACCAAAAATACACAAGCCCAATGCTCCACTACGTCCTATAGTGAGCCAAATCGATTCACCAACTTACAAATTGGCTCAACACTTAGCGAATATACTCTCACCGCTCAAGGGACATACAAGAGCACACACAAAGGATTCCTACCATTTTCAGCGACATTAAAGACCTACATCTGGCAGACAATGAAACTATGGTCAGTTTTGATGTGCAGTCTCTGTTCACATGCTTACCTGTTGAAGACTGCATCTCGATTGTTACTAGAAGGCTAGAGCAAAACAACATGCCCGTAGAATATGCAGTATTACTTAGACACTGCCTTACATCTGGCTACCTATTGTGGCAGGAGGAGTTCTACAAGCAAGTAGATGGAGTGGCGATGGGCTCACGTGTATCTCCCACTGTTGCCGATATATTCATCGAGGACTTTGAGGAAAAAGCCCTGCGTACTTCTCCCGTAAAACCAAGATTCTACAAGCGGTATGTAGACGACACTTTCACAATTCTCCCTTTAGATAAAGAACTGCATTTCTAGACCATCTTAACTCCTTAAATTCTAAAATTCCGTTCACAATGGAGTTAGAAGCAAACAATTTTTAGCTTTGCTAGATGTATTAGTAATTCGGAATCCTGATAACACCTTGAGCCACACTGTGTATAGAAAAAAGACCCATACAGATAGATATTCAAACGGTGATTCTCACCAACATCCTTCACATTTAGCTACCGTGGGTAAATCTTTGTTTCAAAAAGCACGAGGGATCTGTGACAATAAACACCTGGCTGCTGAGCTCCAACACGTCAATCAAGTTTTGCACGACAATAAGCTTCGGGTCCCGCGCCTACGTCACAGTGAACGAGTGAAGCCGGCCACAGTCGAGCGAGTGCCTGCTGTACTGCCATATGTCAGAGGTGTCACTGACAAGATTAGCTACATCTTGAAGCGTGCTTCCATTAAAATATATTTCAAGCCGCCAAAGAAGATTAGTCAGTTTTTACAATCAGTCAAGTGTAATATTCCTCTGCAAGATGCAGGAGTGTGCAAGCTTGATTGTGAATGTAGTCTCTCTTATATAGGACAAACTAAAAGATCCATAAAAATCCGCGTTAAAGAATACATAGCTGATGTGAAGAATAGATGCTCCGGGAAGTCTGCAGTCTGTGAACACGTACAGGATCGCCCCCGTCAGTACATTAGATTTGATAGACCACAAATCCTCGCTAAAAACACCGATTCCTTCCAAGGATGATTCGCGAGGCTATTGAAATCAAAAAGCATCCTAATTTCAATAGAGAAGATGGCTGGGTGCTACCATCTGCTTGGGATCCCATAATTAATAAAATTAAATCCCAACCCAAGCATACAACTGCAAGACTTCATGATACTGTAAGTTCATACTGCGTAGATCGGAACAAAAATTAATAATTTTTAATCTGGAGGTGGCCGTGGTTAACTATGACATTGGGATGTCATACACCTCAGTCCCCCCCGTGACCATGGGTGCTGTAAAGTGCTTGAAGCGTCGGGAATATAAAACAAGTTAATGTACGCGATAAAATCCGTAAAATTAGTTCTATTTAAATGTGTAGTGTTCGCGTAAATATATGAAATCTTTATGTGCAATATGGGCATTACAGTTTGTTGGTTTATTATGCTATACTTATGAACGCAGTATGAGTCCTATGAAAAGGCATTGACAATGAGCTGTGATGATCCTGATAATATTTTTATCTCAATCAGGATACTAGGATAAAGTTATTTGAATATTGTATTGGCAATAGATCATCTGTGTGTGTTAGCGAAAATGACAGCAAAAGTTTCCGTTAAATAGATACACACGAAACTAATTAAAGCACGTTAAAAACTGATTCAGTTTGATAGAAAACATTATATTTATGCTCTTGTATTTTATTAGTAACTAGCGGTCGCCCGCGGCTCCGCCCGCGTGGATTCGGTTACCGCTGCAAAAAGCCTACCCAGGAAAGACACGGTCAGCAAACAAAATGATTCCCAGGTCAATTCACAGACACCGACACTAACATCGACGAAGCAGTCATTATCCGCAGGCTGAACAGATTTTCTTTCTGTGGATGTTATTTGTTAAGTCCCGGAGTGCAACCTGTAATGTTTTAGGATAGAAAACTTAAGCTATTATTGTAGAGCTTCTCTATACACAACATTTGACGTTATATTATTTTCTGGTAACAAAATATACTGATGGTCGGGAGCCCCGACCCGTGATAGGGCAACGTAAAGTTGCCCATGCGTAAAACATTCTTTTCGTAAATCAATTCCTACTAATTTGAATGTTTGGCCCTGGGATTTGTTTATCGTGAGTGCGAAAGAAATTTTTACTGGAAATTGGAGCCTTTTGAAGGGTATAGGCAAATCAGTAGGGATCATGGGTATTCTTGGTATATGAGCTAATTCACCAGCTGCAGGGCCGGTGATAATCTTCGCAACTATTAAATTATCTTTTAGCTCCTTTATAAGAAGTCTCGTGCCATTACACATGTTGGGGGGTCTTAAATTTCTGAGAAGCATTATCGGCGTGCCAACTTTTAACGACAGTTCATGAGGTGGAAGCCCAGCGGTGTTCAGAGAATTTAAAAATTCCTGGGGGTAGTGCACTGCGTCCTCGATGTTAGTGACGGTGTCTATGGATTTATAGCACTTAACTTCACCCGGTACTTTCTGCATAATTAAATTGTTTATTTCCTTGACTGTTTCATTCCTGGGAGAAACTATTGCTCTACAACACAGCCAACGAAAATCATTTTGATGTAAGTTTTCGATGTCAGGATATATAGCATCTATCAGACTATCTAAATTATAGACTATTTGCCCTAGAGATCATCCAAAGTAACTGCATAATCGGTGCCCAAATTTAAAGATGGAAAAATTCCTTCTCCCAGTTTCAGCAGCTGTTATGGAAAATTGCTATGCGTATTTCCATGTAGATGAGCTCTCATATTAGTACGCAAATTCAAATGTTGAACAGATGTCCAAAGGTGAGACGATTTTAAACATGCCTTCATAATATCTGCTCGCGTACCTCTGTTGACGACAGGAAGCGTTTGTCGGAAATCTCCAGCAAATACAAAAGTGATACCACCCATGACATTAGCAGAGCTTCGGAGGTCTTTTAAAGTACGGTCCACGGCCTCCACATGAGCTCTATGACTCATGGTGCATTCATCCCATATTACCAACGACGCGTCTTGCAGCAACTTACCAAGAGGCCCATTTTTCCGAATAGAGCACGTAGACCGTTGATCTAAAGATACGGATAGCGGGAGTTTAAACGTAGAGTGAGCAGTTTTTCCTTCGTTCAAGAGAGTTGCAGCAATTCCTGACGAAGCAACTGCAATCGCTATCTTCCCTGATTGCCGTATCTTAGCAAGTATCAAATTTGCGAGAAAAGTCTTTCCGGTGCCTCCTGGTGCGTCCAAAAAAAATAATCTCCCCATGTTATTGTTCACGCTGTCCACAATAGTCTCATAAGCATGTCTTTGATCTGGTACTAATTTTGGCACATTGTCATTAACAAACGCTGTTAGATCATTGCTGTTATACCGTTGTACTATTGAGTCAATAGTATTATTCTGGGTACGAACGGGAGAAGGTAATCCAAATTCACTTAAATTTTTGTCGTTTAGTTCTAGAAGTTTGTTTTCTATTTCAATTAATACTTTATTATAAATGACTTCAGTGAAGGGTGAAGTGTTATCCTGATTTTGTTGTCTGATACGATGTCTAATATCTTCACAGAACTGATCTTTGAAAGTATCCCATAACTTCAATGGTTCCGATGGTTGACAAAATAAAAGTATGATTACGAACAACTCCCTTAGTTTTTTTGGACAATGTGATAACGAAGCTTCGCTTAAAGTGTTACCCCAATGATCATCGTTTTCAAGTAAACCTCGGTCACGGCAAGCTGCTTGATACGTCTCTTTGACAATACCGTTTACAGTTTTAAGGTATGCAAATGAGGTCGGACCGCGTACGTGGTGCAGTAGAATCCTAAGATAAAAACACTCTGATTGGGATGGATGTATCCCGTAGACTCTACCTAAAGCGGCATCTTTTTTTATCCCGGATGTCCAACTACATCTTCACCACGCTTCCTTCTAGTGAATGTATTATTTGCCCATGTATAGTATTGCGGGACTTCATGATACAGAAGAGTTTTCGCGAATTCATCTTCATTACAGAGAGCAAAAAATGCCAGTAATGTGTTATTGCGTGGGTTTTGGACAACTTGATGAGCTGTCCCTGGTGTAAAATACACCCTTTGACCGTTCTCTAGATGAACGGCCAAATGCACTACAGTAGGATGCCGCTCGTGAATGGGAAATTCAAATAAGCGCCAGACAGCTTCAGATGTGCTTATGTACCTGCCATTTAAATAGTTTTCGACCTCATCGTGTGGGTTTCTAAGGCTAAAAGTTGCCTGATCTAAACCTTTATTTATATACTTACATATATATTTAATGGCTTGGACAGAGTGGCAATACTCCACGTTTACATGAGCGTTAAAAGTCTTACATAGTAGCGGGGAGTATGGAACAATCCACCTATTATCTATCGTCACCATGTTGCCCCTGATTTGTAGCGTAATGCTCCGACCGCCATTTCCTGTATCGCGCCTACGATAAACTGGGTACCCATCCTCTCCGGTCTGGGTATCGTTCATGAAACGGCGAGGGTAATTTTTTGTGCAGACACCGTTCTTCATGCATGGTGCAGCTAAATTATGTTCTCCGCAGGGTCCATGTACCATATTTTTAGTTATAATGTCGTGTAGTACCGGATCAATTTGTTGATCGGGTAGCTCCGCAACTATGACACTGTCGATCTCATCTGGTTGTATTTTAGTTTCTAGCCAGAACAGCAAATGACAATGAGGTAAACCGCGCTTTTGCCACTCCACACTTGCCATATAACATTTTACTTTACCGAATATCTGTTCTTTGACAAATAATTTGATGAATTTCTTCATCTTTAAATGAAATACACGTGAAATTATGTCATGACGGTCGAAAGACCGTTTTCCTGGTAGCAGCTCGGCTTTTATTTCAGGCCATTCGGGGTTACATGTAAAAGTGACAAATAAGTCAGGTCTACCATAATTTCGAACGTACGTCATCGCGTCCTGCGTTTTCTCGTGCATGAAACGCGGAGAACCCGTAAATGACGATGGCAATATGACATCTTGACCGATATTTGATGGGTCAACATTTGCGTCATGATTTAAGGCATCTCTGAGATGAATGTAGTCATCAGCCCTCAGTCTTTGTTGATTCCGACAAATATAATTTAATCTTTCCGATATCATTTTCGCCATCATGTCAACACAATATTGACTAAATAAGTCTCTGTAATAATGTAACGGATTAAAAGAGTTAGTTCTAATCATTAATCTAAATGCATAAAATTGCATACACGAAACAGTTTTATTACGCGCAGAACCCTGCTGAGGGATAGTCAAATAATAACCGTCTTCTCCTGTCACAAACATTATAGGATACTGTAGTGGATCATAGGACCGATGTAGCTCAGAAACTCTTTTGAGCTGCCCGTATCTACCGTGTACGACTATATCCCTGGGACCTTTGTCTTCATCGACCAAGAGAACAGCTACCTCGTTTACAGTAGGAGCATTATATCTGCCTCTGTGTGCTGTCTGTGGAGTGCGATCTGAATGAATAATTAACTTTAAATTATCTGAGGAGTTAAGTTCTAAGTTTTGTTTAAAACTTCGTATGTACACGTTATGATTATTTAAAGCGGTCTGTAATTCGTGAATTAAATCCATTTTTAAGGTTGGTGCGATGCTTGATCGCAACGATAACTGGTCTGCATCCGAAATAAAATATATTTGCAAGAACTGTGGGTTTTGGCCTGATGGTGGTAAAAGGCTACCAATTAGATGATACACTTGTCCTTCAATTTTAAAAGTGGGCATAAAATTTCCTTCCCTGATTTCTTTTGCGCCAAACGAAGTCATTTGAAAAAGACTATTGTATTTACGTACGTTTGTTAAAAAATGCCCAGATAATGGATGGTTATTAGTCAAAAGATTTTTTATTGGTTGTGGCGGCTCCTGCAGGTTAGGAAGACAAACTTTACCTGAAGCACAGCACATACCATTAGGTTCGTCCGCCCATTTCTTGGCAGAGCAGTTAGAGCAGATCTTATTCATGACTCCGATTTGGACGGACGTTTGTTGTGCATAATCAAACTGCGGATCATATCTGAAAGCCAGTCTGTTGCTGTTAGCTAAAATTCGATTGCGAACTCTATTTGTGGACAACTGCTGTCTCTCTGCCTGAGCTCTAAGTCGCTGCAAACGCTCGACACTCGACTCTCTTTCGCGCAACTGAGAGGTCCTTATATTTTGTTCATGAAGACTTTGGGAACGCTCCAGGCTCGACTCTTGAGCGCGTAGCTCAGAGGTTCTCAAGCTTTGTACGGCAAGGCGTTGCGAACGCTCGACACTCGACTCTCGTTCGCGTAAGTCAGAGGTCCTTACATTTTGTTCATGAAGACGTTGGGAACGCTCCAGCCTCGACTCTTGAGCGCGTAGCTCAGAGGTTCTCAAGCTTTGTACGCGCAAGGCGTTGCGAACGCTCGACACTCGACTCTCGTTGGCGTAAGTCAGAGGTTCTTACATTTTGTTCATGAAGACGTTGGGAACGCTCCAGCCTCGACTCTCGTGCACGTAACTCAGAGGTTCTCAGATTTTGTTTTGCAAGGCGTTGTGAACGTTCGACACTCGACTCTCGTGCGCGTACCTGAGAGTTTCTCTGATTTTGTTCAGCAAGGTGTTGTGAACGTTCAGGTGAAGATTCTCCCATACGACGTATTTTTGCTGCCCGTGCTTGAGAACTAGTTTAGAAAGTTGAGACCTGGCTCTCTTAGGCATTTTCAAATGTTTAAGATAATGTTATTAGCGTGTAATATTCTAGCTCTAAAAAGAACTGTTGGTTAGCCCTGAAAAGAACTGTTGGTAAGCCCTGAAAAGAACTGTTGGTTAGCACTGAAAAGAACTGTTGTTTAGCTCTAAGAAGAACTGTTGTTTAGCTCTGAGAAGAACTTTTGCGTAGGTGTAGTTTAAAGAACGAAACCTAAAAAAAATCGCACGAAAATTATTAGACTTCACGCACGACCGCTGCGTAGGGAGCCAACCGCGCGACTGAGCCACGCGGGTACCTTACTCATAGATCTAAACTACCCCTCCCACACGCTCACCGGGCCTTGGTAACGCCTACTTCGCAACGGGCCGTGCAGCAGAAATCGTAATATTTTATTTTCGCTATAACTTCAGAACCAAACGTCCAATTTTAATCATTCAAAGACCAAATATTATCTACATTAACTGTACTTAGTGATGAAATAAATTATTTTGATAAGGATTAATAGCATGAGTAAAATAAACGCGTTTAAATGTAGTCCAAAAAAAAATCAAGATTTTTCAATAAAAAAATGGTTATTGTGCCTCACTCGACATAGATAGGTATAGTGTGTCGCGGACTTTTTTGTAGATATTTATAAGATCTACAATTACTTAGAACATTTTATGGTTCTATCTTTAATAGTTTAGGCAGGGTACGCAAAATAAGTAACTTTTTTGGTTGATTTTTTACACCTTGTGTCCGAAAAACCCTAATATCTTACGGAACCCTATTTTTGTTCAAAATTAAATATAGCCTATATTACTCGTGGATAATGTAGCTTTCGAATGGTGAGAGAATTTTTGAAATCGGTCCAGTAGTTTATGAGCCTATTCATTACAATCAAACAAACAAACAAAC